ATGTGAAATAAAATAAAAAGACTTCAAGGGAGAGCAGCAGCTAAAAAGCAACTACAGATGTAGCTTACACACAAAAAAAGTAGTTCTAAAAGGACTGTTGAGTATCTGAACTGTGAACACGTGTGAGGGAGGGTTACAAAAGAATATGTAGCCCACCACACTGTAATCCACACTAATCTAGGGCAATATATCACAGCAAATCTCTGTATAGCAACTAATCCTCCCTACACAGGCTCTGAGCTCTCACTAAACTACTCCAATGCACTCTGACAAATGGCTGAACCTACCCTTTTATAGTGTGGGTGCTCGAACATAACAAAAACCCCATTATTATACTGTTGACCAAAGATGAAAGCTCTTCCCGTGTATTATGGCTACAAAGAGTTCAGTCTGTCGGGGATGGCAAATTTTGAACCCAGTGGATTCACTGCAAACTCATGGGAGCTGTGAACAGGAACCTCATCCCTAGTGATAATCAGTGCTTCCGGCTGCTCTCTGTTGGCCATTTAGTGTTATAACTGACCTAACTGGCCAATAGTGGAGTGTGGAAAGAAAGGCTCTGCCTTCTAAGCTCTGGCTGGTATTGGATTATTAAGACTCCTGTTTTCCAAAGAACGTAATCTGCCTTAAACTACATTATTTTATTTAGCCTGCAAATCCCCCTAGCAATACTTGCCTACTCTAGAAGGTAGCTGAGGATGTGTGCAGGAACGTTTGTTGTTGTTTCAGATCGATTGTCCAGTTTTTCCGCTGGTGTAAATATTTTCTCTCATGCAAGGTCAGAATTAAGGCCCAGCCCAGCAATGAGCCACCCTCAGCCCTTCTATTGCTAAAGGCTTAAGACTATTAAGTGCTGAAGGTGAAATTAGAGATTAAAACTTTGTTTTTCTTGCAGGCCAGACCCCACAATTATATTAAAATATATAATGTATTATTAATTTGTCTAAAGTCAAGTGTGGCAGTGAAACCGTTAAGGACATGATAGCTAAAAAAAACAACCTGCAGTACCCCCTCTTCCCCTGGTGCCCTTAGCATTTGTTTATTTTGCTTACTGGTTAATCCAGGGCTGCCCTCATGACATCTCCTGAGATGTATTATTCATTTCACTCTACTTTATCCACAAGGGAGAAGAAAAATAGATGATAATAGCATTTTTTAAATCACTGAGTAGAGGATTTTACTGAGCATTTTTTTTAATCACTGAGTTTGATGAAATTACCTGAAATTTCATCAAAAGAATATGAAAGATTTGCTGAGAAAGGAAATTTGTGAGTGTGTAGGACAAATGAATGTTCGGTAAAATACATGTTAATACATTAAATATTTTTAGTGGTGAAGGTTCATTTTGTCACAAAAAAACATTAGCAACATATAATGATGTGACAATCCTGCAATTAAGGAAAGTGATCATTAAGATATTATGTGATCAAGAATTTTTATATATTGAAATTTGATTTTATAAAGTAAACTGCTAATATCATGTTAAATAATGGTTTATTTTAGGAGTTGCTGTATATTTGCCTTTTAAAGCCCAAAGCCAGTCAAAACTTCTATTTTTCTGGGAGGGAAGCATTGATGTCTGTGTTCCAATAAGGGAGATTTTACCTCACTTCCTATAAGGAGAAGACGTAATGAGAAATCTATGCAAAGGAGCACAGGTAAAATAAATAGAGTAGGAAGGTTTTAGAACTTTTGACAATATGTTTATTACTGTCTTTGTCTTGCAGTCCTGGTGACAACTGCCTCCCTCCATTTTTGTTAGGGTGAAAAGGAAGAAAACCCTCACATATAGAAGTAAAAACCTAACAATTTCAACTCTTTACCATCTAACCATAACAGAAAATATTTGGTATTAAGTTAGGTGTTAAACGTGTGCCAAAATATATGTATGAGCAATTTGGTTGGGGAAAAAAATGTGTGTATATATATATACACACACTCAATGCACATTAAAACTAAATAAAATTTAACAGCGTCAGTTAACTTGAAAATTACAATGTGAATAATTTTTTTACATTGGTTTTAAGAACACAAAGATTTTGTTGAGTAAAGTATATTAAGTAAATTTTCTGATTTTGGTTTAATTTTGAGTTGACAGATAAAACATGTATTCATTTATTTTACAAGTTGTATTGTACTGTGGCAGTTGCAAGCTCACAGCTTCAGCTTTCACTGTGCCACTGCAGGGTACTTTGACAGCTAGAGCAATGTTTGGCTGTTTTAGTTATCACATGACTAATAACTAGGGATGCACAGATACTTTTCGAGTACCAGCGCAGATACTTGGCATTTTCATGAGAACTACCAGGGTTGCAGCGGTTGCAGCTGGGACCTGGCTCTGGCACTCCACCACTGTCCTGAAATCATTAGTTTGTATTGTTTTAGAAAAACTGTCACATGACAATAAACAAAAATGTATCAGTACTCGTACTTGTAAGTACTCGGCAAGTACCAGTACTCGTACTCACAAAACTGCTATCTGTGCATCCCTTTATTTATATTTATAAAAACAAAATCGTACATTAAAACAGAGATGTACAAATCCCAGAAGCTCCGTGTGCTCCTTACAAATGACAGCGGCCTCCTAATTTTTTAATTTTTCTCTAGTGTAGTCTTGGAGCTCAAAAGTATTGGTACATGTACTCGTACTTGTACCGAGTACTGTACTTGGTATCTGTGCAACCCTACTAATAACCAAACTGATTGGTTCCTGAGACCAACTCTGTCCACCTTTGCATTCTAACTGAAAGCAAATGTTAATGTGATCTCAACATTCTATCAACATTAATCTACAGATTGCAGATGGGAAGGGATTACATGTTTAAAGCTTACCTTGGAAGTTAGGTTTAAAATTAAAGATGGTGGAGTTGGGACATAGCTGTAACACCACACTCCTTATTTAAGCTATTTGTAAAAATAAATAGGGTTTTTCTTTAGAGGATTTTCAATCATGATTTAAGTAGTGGGGAGATGATGGTTCCTTGGGTCATAGAATAGGGGAAAAAGAAGTTTATTATCCCAGACCGTACCTGTAGGTCTCGTTGCGGCCCCCGCCACACCTTTTGAAGAGGACCTCACCATACCATCAGGCAAATATGATTGATGTTGAAAATGGAATGCTTCCAATTCCTGATGAAGCACACTCTGAAATGCTTTGAATGAATGGTGCCACTATAAGCAATTGATTGGCAAGAATAAGAATTATGGTTTTGGAAACATTGTATTTAATTATTATTATTATTACAAAGTATTTATATAGCGCCAACAGTTTGCACATCGCTTTACAAAGTAAGGAAGACAGGATGGTAAGGAGGGCCCTGCCCCTGAGGGCTAACAATCTGAAAGAGGAGGGGGAAATGATACATGAGGAGGTAGCTGTGTGGGGATGAATTGTTTGAATGGTTATTAATATAATATATGGTTACGTGATTACATAGAGTGATTTGGATATTTACGTAGGTGTAAGAGATATTGTTCAACTACAACATTTTGTAAATGTTTTTAATTGTAAGCTGTTTATTTTATGTGACTATATTAATAAAACTGATATGTTTTTATGCAATTTCAAATGACTTTAGAGTGTTGGCTCCTATAAAAAACAAAACTATTTATTGTACAATTGTGTTAGATGTTAGGTTTAGTGTTAGGTGGATATGTGTCAAGGAACAGGTTAAGGATTAAGTATGCAATGTTGGGAAGGGGCACTTAAAGAAGAATTTCGTGCAAACCTTTTATTAATCCTTGCAGTGGGGCTAACCCCCCACTGCAAGGGTTAACTGCTCATTTTGGTCTAGGAAGGAAAATAACAAAGTTATGCTTACCCGACCATCAGAGCCAGCTGGTTGTGACAGTGTTCCCTCTAGCCTCCCTTCTACTAGACTCCAGCGATGATATGTCCCTCGGCAACCTTACGTTCCACACACTGTGTATAGAACGTGATGACCCAGGCAACTTAGACCACTGTGGGGGAGGGGGGGGGGGTTTGAGAGCAAGGCTGGAAGGACTGGTCTAAGAGCAAGTCAGCTCAGAGAATTGGGTAAGTATAACCTCCCAAAAAACAACAAGCAGTTAACCCTTGCAGTGCATGCAAGGTTATAATAAAAGTTGGCTGGTGGACTTCTTTAAGATCTTGTTTAGATTTGGTGCTTACGTGTACATTAGAAAGGGTTTGGTGTTAGGAGAATGCTTAATGCTGAATGCTTAAGATATATATTTGTTAATCACTGTAGGAAGAGCTGCAGATTTTTAACTCTCGACATCACTTTCTTTTTCACGCTCTACTAATAATCTCTACATCAGATTCCCATGACTCCCAGCACAGAGAGAGGATGTATAAAATGTATATATGCTAAAATGTTATTTTCAATTAAAAGCTGGTGTTATTCCAAAATGGCAGATCACTCCATGTGCAAAGGAACTTGATTTGCTTTGTGATAGATTCCCTCTAAACCATCATATGAATATTGTTATAAAATAAAGTCATGCAATATTTTCGTGCAGTGTTAATACCTTCTTCACTTCCACCCTCAGTTCCACCTGTTTGTTTTTCTGAAGTCTAATTTTAGTGTTGCTGTAAAACATTAGGCTTAAGACCAACCTGATATTTACTAAACATACATTACAATTTCAAAACTTGTCATAAAAGGTTAGATCACACTTCTTAAAGTGCCTCTGTCTTGAGAGAAGTACAGGGTTTGCCTTTGCTGGCCTCCTTTTGAAAATGCACTTTTGAGTCAGAAACCTGAAATAAGCATGCTGTAAATGAGTGTCAAAATTAATGTCAGTACCTGTTCTGGGTCAGCAGCTCAGAAAGCACTGAAGCCTAAGAATTAGCATGGCAGCCAGGCAACTATCATTTATCAATGATTGTTTAGCAATGGCACCATCTGTAATCTTTCATGACAGACCTTGAAGATCCCTAATCAGTCAAACCCATAATTATGGTTTTGTTTTTATACTTACATGATTTTTTTTTCTTTCTCTGGCTAATTGTTTCTTAGGCATAACATACAGTCGCTTTTAGGAAGATTTAGTGAATGTGAAAACATACTCCTCTCTGGAGGAGTCCAACCCGGAACGTTAGATGGAGTTCTTATTGATGCTGGGTGTTCCTCCATGCAATTTGACACAGCAGAACGAGGATTCTCTCTCAGTAAAGATGGTCCCTTAGACATGAGAATGGATGGTGACAGGTAACTAAAATTAACAGGACGAAAGCTAAGAATGAACAGTAAAAAATATTTTGTTTGTGAATTAAAATATATCTATTTTGCAATTTTGGATAGGGTGGGGAAAGGATGACCTCTGTGTTAGGTTTTTATTGTTGTCTAAACCCCCATGAGGATCTGTGTCTTTCCTGGTGACCAGTCACTTTCAATCCTTCAGTTATACTCAAAGTTTCTATCACTCCATCTGAAGATATGCTTACTACTATTTTATTTTTTATGACCCAGGCCTTTGCAGTATTAAATGCTTGCAATAGTGGTCACCAACTAAAAAAATCTGCTGGTAAAAGCATAGAAAAATCAAATATTTTACAAGCTTTCACTTGCAATGTACCTTTGATCTTGCTGGAAAATGTGAGTAGTCAGTTTCCTAGCACATCCTCCTCCCCCTCCTTGCTTGTCTGTCACGATACCATATACCATATCGATATACAATACCGTATCTATACAAGAGAGCCAATTACGTGACCACACCAAACAATGCTTTTGAACATTATTTTATTAGCTACTCCAAAACCCCACAACCATAAGCACCCCCACCTGCAAGTAACATATGAAAGACTAACTAACACAAATGACAAAATACACACAGGAGACAAGAGGGCAAACCCTGGGGAGCAGGACAACAAGAGGGGAGCCACTGATCAGGAGACCTCAGGGGTAAGGGTCAGGATTCAAGGCAGGACCAGGATGCAGGATACAGGAAATGGTAGCAATACTGAGGCACAGACTCAAAAGCAAGGAGAGGGCAAATACCCTCCCAGATCAGCACCAGGTGGTGACTAATTGCTGGGAGACACCTGCAGGTGAGCACTGGAACTGCAGGATCAGGTTTCAGCTCCACAGTGCCACCTGGAGGTGCTCTGGTCAATGTCACATAGCCTTCTCCTCTTCTGGGAGTGTCTAATAACTCTTTGTGCTGACCAATGTCCTCTGCCCCAGGGGGTGAGAGGGTAGGGGAATACTGTAGAGTTTCAACTGAGTGGCAGCTCTGAGTCTCTTGGGGCTGCTGACCTCACATCCACAATAGAGTTGGCCAGCAGCAGTCTTAGAACTTTTGGATGTCTACACAGGCTTTTACGGGTAAACAACATGCATACAATACATTGAATGCACATATAATCTTATGGGAAGACTTTTTTGGAAATTATGGTGTAATGACAAGGTCACTTTAAGTGTTGAATCAGGCATCCTGGGGCACCAGGTAAAAAACCCATGACTACAGATCTAGGCTAGACTATGTTTGCTTAAAATGTAATCTGGTGCCTTTTAAGTGATTATAACATTTTAAGTGATACAATATTTTAGAATCAACTATCATTCTTTACTGGAGTGGTTTACAATAGATAATGTTAGTCTATATGAGCATTGGGAGGAGAATTTAAACTTAAAAAAGCTTAATTTTGAATGTTTTCCATATACTTTTACATAGACATAGCAAAACTCTCCTAGACTCTGTGTACAATAAATATTGTTCACACATTCCACACAACTTTTTGACAAAGTTCTAATTTGGCTGGCTAATCAGGTAACAGCTTGTCATTTTGAAATGCCATTGCTGATGTTGAACACGCTAATGGTTGTCACGCAAGTACATCAAAAATAATCTTTAAAGGTTTTTTTTTTTTCCTTTTTAACAAATACATTTCCATTCAAATACATTAGAAGCTTCCTGTACAAGTCTCATCGTTGGAAAATTACCAGGCCAATTTATAAAGTACATATCGTGAGCAGATATAATGCCGGGGACAATTGGAAAAAGAGCAAATTGAGTATACTGCTGCAGTTCAAGTCCAATTATAAAGTTTTGTTGAAGAAAGAAATACATCCTCCTACTTTTCCTTCATATGCGGAGAACAGAGAGTGTGTAATAAATGTTATCTTAAATTCCTCCTCCAGTGTGTAGGCTGCAAACATAACAAAAATAGTCAATCGACCAAGCTTTATTCTTGCACGTACATCAGACAAATTCCCTTAACACTTAAGTGTGAGATTATAGACACACATTTAACCCTTAATCTCAGAGTAAAGGATCATCAATTAATAAGTCTGCATCTGTGTTTTTAACTGTTCCCTGTGGTTACTGTCTTTCATAGTATTAATAATACATATGGCAAAGGCAAGACATGAAATTAATTTACCCGCTTAGTGCTCATTAATACTTGTACCTTTCCTGATTGGTAAAGCACCTCAAAAACTATGTCCTTGTTAAAAGCCCAAACTAGTTTCAAATAGGGGTTTAACCTTTCCCTATCCTATCAGTTAATGTTTTTGTTGTCTGTGACTTGCTAAAGAGATCCCCCTTTACTTTCTGTCCCAGAATCATAACAAGCATAACGAGAAATCTCTCCACAGTGAGAAGCATTTTTACCACAACAGGTGACTCTGTTGGAAGATTTAGCCACACCTTTTATTCTGGTGACAAAAATGAAGGCGTTTCCCCTAATTTTCTGTCTTGGTGACAATAGTCAAAAGGACAAATAGAGAGGATCTACCAACCAAGGACACAGGCCGCAATAAAAGCCTGCTAGTGTTTCTCACTCTTCTTTACTTTGTCCCAAGCTCTACAAAGGGTCTAACCCTTCCCAACTCTATCCAAAACCAATCAAAACTTGCCTTTACATACACTCAAAGCAATTTGGCTTTTCATTCATAAAAAATCAGGACAGATCACATTCTGTTTTTTGTTACTTATGGCAGCATTCTTATTTTATTTCCCAATTTTATTTTATTTATTCATTCACATGGAAGTAGACCTAGTGATCCTAGCATCTGATATGCTTTCCATGTTAAATCATACATAAATCCAATTATTATTATTATTATTATTCAGGATTTACAAAGCGCCAACAGTTTGTGCAGCACGTTACAATATAAAGAAGACATTACAGTTACAATACAATTAAAGACAAGTTGGTTAGGAGGGCCCTGCCCGTGAGAGTTTGCAATCGAGGCTTCAATCTGCTAATATAATTCAAAACTAATTTTCAATATTTTAAATCTGCACCTTTTTATTATATTAAATCCCTGGTGATCCTGCCATGAAGTTTATTGTTCAGAAACTTCCTGTTATATAATAGTACTCTGTCCCTACAAGTGGCCATTTCAACACACAATTGCACAGGCATGATTCCTTGTTGTCACCATTTCTAAACCCACCCTGAGAATTGCCATGCAGTCATCTCAGGGGTGCCTGACACATACAATGTATTACTGTATGATATTTTTTTCGGTGTATCATCATAGAATATATATATTTAAAAAAAACAATATTATGCTACATATACAAGGTACCTTAAAAGTCCCATATAGGCTTATTTTCTATGAGTTGGAAAAACTCAACTGTAGAAAACCTAAATCCCATAGCAAAATATGAAGCTTTTCTTAAGCTGGCCATATATGAGTTCTTTAATTTTTTCTCATACAATCCCATCATAAAACGGTCCCTCTTTTATCCCTCATTGACCATGACGATTTAATGCATGGAACTAAAATACCTCACAGGCTGTGAACTAACATGCAAGACTTTTCTCTACATTCGAAAGAAAAATTATATATTGACTGAACTTTCTAAACAAGGCAAACCATTTCTTATCAAGTATGTGTTCCAAGATGATTTCATGCAAGAAAACGTTGAGTTAAGTGGGACATTTTTTTAAAATGTATCCCTTATTTCATCCATGTTTAATGGGAAAGAGTATTCTGCTACTAAAGTTACTTAGTGTGGTCATTTTCTACACATACACTCAACAGTTGTCATATAAGGGTGCTAATATGTATCAGATGAATTTTCCTCACATCAACTTTTTTAATAAACATTTTGAGTTTGCCTAGCTTTGCAAAACATCTGAAGATGTTGACTTGTTGATCATTCCTTGTTAGGTAATTTGGTGTGTTGAGTAAAGTACAAGATATGGGAAATCATCAGTTGAAAAGTCGATGTATTTTTTGGACAAACTCTAAAAAAGTGTTTATAGTCTACAATTTGGGTTAGGGTGTACATGGGTGGTTCTAGCTCCTCATATGCCTTTTTACTTTTAATAACAGAGAAGAGTTGTGTGACCATTTAAAAAGTATTTTATGCAGATGGCAGAACTACAAGATAATTTTTAACGTTGTGTGTCTAAAGCTGGCCATACACCTTACAATTTATCTGCAGATGTGGTCAGATGGAAAAGGTGCAACAGATTCCTCCATCTACACTTAACTGTGTGGATGGAATAATCTCCACCTGGGCCAATCTGTTGCACTTTATCCATCTGACCAAAGAAAATCTGCAGATAAATTATAAGGTGTATGGGCACCTTAACAGGGTGCATTGTTCCCATTATTCCTATTATATACCTGCAGGCTATACATAATAGTTGTCAAAATGCTATCAAATTGTATTTTTAGCAGATGGGCCTAGATTGTCCTTGCGTAAATATGTAATATGTGAATGGTAAACGTATTCAATAAAGATTTCTTAACTGATAATTCATAAAATACAATAAGTCACAGCAGCCAATAAGAATTCACTAGTAAAAGAGAGTTTGCAATTGGCTGATATATCTAACTACACTTTCAAAAGCTAAAAATTAAAAAAAATCTTTTAAAAATGAACATAGCTTATATAATTGTCGCACGAGCCATTTTGTAATTCAATGTTATTAAAAAAAATTACCCTTCCATTTAAAACTGCAGCCACTGTAATGTTCTAAATCTGCCACAATAATTCATTGCAATATGGCGACCTGGGGTCATTCCGTACATACTTGGTGTATAAAAACACACCCCCAGAAATGTCACTTCCTGCTTCTCTGATTGGCTGACTGATTTTCCCAGAAGTCTGCACTAAGATACAAGTACAGTTTTTGGCATCCCTTGCAATAGGAATTTCATTTTTGGTGAGATACTCCCTAAGGATTAATCGCTGCTAAAGGGGTGCAGACACTGCACCTTTCTCTATTATAACCCAGGACGCCCACTGGCTGCTTATAATGAACCCAGGCACTCCCATTCAGGGATCAGTTTGGAAAGGACATGCTGCAACTAACAGCTTTTTTTTCTAGAACAGAAACAGGTAGAAAATTGCAATACGTTTGGTGTAAATCCTTGTAATGTACATTGAGGGGATTGTTTTTTCCGAACAAAAGTGGAACTACTCTTTAAGGAGTAGAACTTCCGAATAAGACATTTTTATTGAATAAGTTGAATTTGGTAATTTCTAAGTATAGAAATGAACATGTAATCTGGCCATTTACTATCAATTACACTCAAAAAGAGCCTAAGCAACAAAGAAGTTTTGGAATGTCGCTGCTGGCCACTGACCTGACACTTTTTTGCTATGAGAACGCCATGGACTTTCTTTGTAGAAGCCACTAGAATAATCGAATCAGTATATATTCATTGCAGCTCACCAAATATACATGCTAATCTTTTGGCCCATGTGGACAATTCAATGAGCTGTAATAAAGGTGCAGTTGCTACTTCGCTTCTACTCTTCAGATACACAATTTTACACCATAGCTCTTCAAATACTGTAAATGTATATAAATGACAATGGATTATACATATATTCATGAGACCTCTTTGACATACAGTATGTAGATCAGGGCTCAAAATTTCCACTCGCCCCCTCGCAATTTGCGAGTGAAAATTATCCCCACATTATTAGACATGTGTGAAGACTAAAAATTAATTTCAGATGAAATGTGTATGTGTAATGCTCTGTGCGTTGTGCTGTGGCTGTATGTTTAATGCCCTGTGCGTTGTGCTGTATGTGTGTTGTGCTGTGTGCGCGTTGACCCCTGTGTGTGTTTGTGTTATGCAGGGCAACTGGTGGCGAGTAACTTTGAAGGCCTGGCTAGTAGCTCAGGACCTGACATTTTGAGCCCTGATGTAGATAACATTTTTATTTATAAGCAGTACACTTATGATTGATGCAGAATTTCAAAAGTTTTTTTTTAACTTTAAAGTTAATGGAGGCTATATAAAAAGTAGAAGCTATTTCCAATCTCTCAAGACTGCTTTGAGTTATTTTTAAATCTCAGAGGCACGCCTATGCAGAGTGTGTATTTGTATGTGTTTTTTTTCCTGTTTCTTGTGTCTCTGCGCTATGAAGCTTCACCTCTTGTCAATGAAAACCGACGTCAGAGAACTAATTGGCTCTCCTTGTGCGTAGGTATCCTGACATGCCCAACGCCGCTGATGTTGTGAATGCTTTAGATCAACAGGCACTTGCGTCTATCCTGAAAACATACGGGGAGGAGAAACACGCCAAGAAAATAGCTTCAGCCATCGTACAAGCACGTAGCATATACCCCATCACCAGAACTCAGCAGCTCGCAAGCATTGTTGCAGGTACCCTCATTAATTCTGCGCTGTGTCTGAAAAAAAAAGAAAAAAGTATATTAATCCCCAAGGTCCCAGAGGGATCTATTTGTCCTGGAAATCATTCAGGATTTAAGCCTGTCTGTTCCTTTTTAATGTTAAGCTTTGTTAATTTTTAATTTATTTTTTTTTCTTTTGTTGGTTGCCGTCCATGTTTCTTTCTTTTGTTTTTGCTGCAGCGTATTTTACTGATTAGTTTAATTATTGATTGCTCATGAAATGATTTGACGTAGATGCACACCGAGACAGTGTAGGCAGTCACAGGAACAGATGGGAAATCTTGATCGTTATGGCTGCTGAGAACTTACATTTTCACTGGTGGCTCAGCCTTGTCATTGTTTTTTGTTTTTTTGTTACTGATTTTTCATTCGGGAAAACGGACAAGCCTTAGCCCCAAAAATTAAATACATGATTGCCACATCCAAATGTGACCTGACAGCAGGCGGGATCCCCATAACTTGATATATTTAATTTAGCAGAAAATAAATGAAAACCTTTCTTCCTTTGTTTCTTGCTATTCATTATCTATCTATCTATCTATCTATCTATCTATCTATCTATCTATCTATCTATCTATCTATCTATCTATCTATCTATCTATCTATCGTAGAAGCCTCTGGTATTGTTTCTCTGATTTTGTACCAAGTTCAGCTGTATATTAAAATAAATAACACACCAATAGTAACAGTGGCATCCACTGGCTTTGACTACACTTGACTATCACAGCATCAGTCACATGATCTGCTTATAATAAATGTTAAAGGAAAACAACAACTAATATAAAGGAAACAAAAATTATAAATAATGACAACCATTACAATTTGAAACCCAGAGTGTGGACACACCCAACCTTTTCCTAACTAGGAGATTTAAAAAAAAAGCAAGAGTGGGTCTGCTTTATATAAGTTGTTGCCTGTCTCTCAATATTGCTGTAAACCCAGCCTTCACGAACATGGGGCACCAAGGACCAATCCTTGCAATAGACAAGTCAATAGAAAGTGATAGATTGCCACCGAAGTAATGCTAATAGATATTTGGACTCATTAAGTCGTGGGAAAGTTATGTGTACTTTTGCTGTGTCTTTAATAAAAAACTAAATAGTAGTAATAAAAAATGATTTCATGAAAACCATACGGTATATTTTTAATACATTGTTAATTTAACTTAAAGTAACATTAAATCCTCATGCCTTCTCATGCTTTGGAAGAACTTCCTTTTTCAGCTCAGGGCCTCTTCCTGTAGTGCTGGCTCAGGTTACAAGCCCATAGAAACGTATACACAGACACCGTGTATCCATTCCTGAGACAAGGCAGTCTGCTGCAAAACAGAAGTTCTGCAGAGCATGAGAACAGATACAGATTTAAAAGGAAGAGCAGCAAAGAGAAGGGAAACTACCATGGATTACAGTAAGGCACACATTGCAGTATTGTTTTATGTTAAAAAATCTGAGGGTTTAATGTCACTTTAAGTCCCATTATGTATTTTTCTTTTTGCCAAGGAACCCTTGTTTGGCATTTTGTGCTTGAGCATTCTAAAAGAATATCTAAAGCCAAACCGTTTTTGGCCTTTTGGATGGAGTAGGGAATGTTTAGAACCCCTATTTGGGTGGGGTTTTTATTGCTTTCTATATTTCATTTGAGAGCTCTCCTCTTACTTGTATCTGAAGAAGCAAGTGAGAACAAATCTCTCCAAAGTGAGGGAAATCCACTTTTAGACATTTACCACATGTCACCATTGTAAGATTACCATTTTATTGCTGTTTTGGAGACAACTCTAACAGGGTGATTCACTAAAGGGTGAAGAGTTTGGAGAATGCAGGAGAAGTGAACAATCTAGTACAAAAAAGCTGATTTGGAAAAATTCTCCAATTTAGCTCACTTTCCAGATAAGCTATGTTGTCCTAGATTGTTCACTCCTCCTGCCTTCTCCAAACTCTTTACCCTTTAGTAAATAACCCTCTAAATTTTAGATTTTTCCTCCCTTTCAATGCTAGTGACATTGGTCACCAGGGTAATGGAGAAGGTCAATCTTCGCAACAGAAGCACAGACATCAATAAAAACTGATGGGGATTTGAACCCTTCATTAATTTGTCCAAAACTAGAGAACTTTGGCTTTACTGTAGATATACTTTAAGTCTTATGTAAAGACTTAAGGTCACCAAAAAAGTTAAGCAGTGTTAATATAGTAGTTTGGGGTTTATTCAGTCAGTGCTAAGAAGCTACATCTAATAGCCAGTCAGGTTTTCACTTTCAATAGCATACAGAAGATGGAAACTTGGTGGTGGGGCCCATGATCTTCAAAGTGACAAGCACTTCTCACAAGATCTGGTGATTCTGATCTCAGTTTGTATCTGTCAGCATTTTTTGTTTGACCTTGTCATAGATATTAAAGAGTTTAAAACACATGGATCTAGAGCTTGTCCACCAAAACCATCCCCAGCTGGAACACTGGTATAAAGGATTATTAAAATTAGTCTCTGGTCTTATCTAATAGCCCATGCTATATGGAAAAAAAAAAAACAAGGAACCATTTCCATCCGAACCATGCACTGAAAACAGAATAGACATTTAGACACATCAGTGCCTGGGACCGCTGTAACCTGCTCACTATAGCTTCTCTTTTTTTTTGTCAACTGTATATTGTCTATGTTTTAGTAAAAACATATTCCTTAACCTCCTTGGCGGTATTCCCGAGTGTGGCTCGGGGTTAATTTTCATTACCAAAAGCGGAGAGCCCGAGCCACACTCGGGATTACA